TCTTTTGACAAAAGGATGAAGTCTCTATCTGTCAGGGAAGCCGAGATATTGCAAAATAAAAAAGGTCTTCAACTTTTGAACAGCACTTTTTATATAAAAATTAACCCGGTCCTGAAAGGGTTAAAACGTTTCATGATGCTAATCTTCCATAGGATTTGAACTTTTCAGAGAAACCAGCCGGAGTTCATACTGTTAGAAATCAACTGAGGAAAAGTAACTTTTTTCTTAACAGTTCTTCGTTCTCATACGTATCTAACCGCAAAAAGGATAGAGAACTGAATAAAATGATATTTAAACGTTATTTGAATGTATCAAATTGAGTTTTCAGAATCGATATACTTGTGAAATGATCATTTTGTCATAGGATCAAATAAATAATGTAAGTCTGTTATGATCCAGATGCTCTCAATTTGTTTCATTACAAATTAGAATGAGGTAATACGACATCGAACATCGTATGAGGTCAAATCAAATCAAATTTATTCAGCAACATAGGCTATGAACAATTAGAAATACTGATAATTTTTTGTTGATAAGAGTTCGAGCATATTAAAATGAGACAGCACACTGTTTTCAATGAATATTTTGTGAAAATGCATGAGGCGGAAACCTAACCTCTATATCCGTCAATCCTAATTTTTTAGCTAAACAATCACTGTCAGATAAATTGTCTTTCAAAATCACTATAGCTGCTAGTTTTTGAACACATACATAAAAGTGGGGCTAGATGAACCTTAAAACTACTGTTATAAACACAATAACAACAGTCGATGACAGGCAGCATACAATTTTTATACATATACAGTCTTAATGATGATGTAGCAGCACCGAATGTACGCTTTAATGCTCCTGGCATTTGCCTACATCTACTACTTCAACTAGCAATATGATCTTTCCACTTTAAGTTATGTGGTAAATAAACGCCAAGTAATCTTATGTTTTTCTCATGTGGAAGCAGTTGTTCGCACAAAGTTAAGTGGTTCATGCCCGAACTCCGCACATTTTTAATAAAAAGTGACTATATCTATATCCCAAACTCCGCGCATAATTATATGAATTCGAAATATACGTGATCCCAGACTCCGCACACTTTTTGATTAGCAAGTAAAACATGGACTGTAAGAAATAGAAAAATATATCGTTATATCATATATTCTTAGTTTGATTAGAATAAGAAATAGAAAAATACATATACTGTTTCATATATTCTTAGTTGATTGTGATATTTCGTCTATATAGCGATAAGCTACTGCCCGTACACTCGACATATATTCTTCAACACTCATTTCACCCAGTTCATACGCTTCTTTATTTATACACAATTTAAATGCTTGATTCTCAGTTGATACATGTTGTTTCTTGGTTGGCTTTTGTCCAGTTAATTCTTGTTGATATCTCGTATGTGCTAGGACGTCTTCATCCGCTATTGATTCAATCCATCGATAAATGTTTGGATGACACGGCATATTNGCATATTACTAAGCACGAAAGGAAACGAAGTTAGAATTTAGCACGGAAAAAACAGAAGAAGCAATTTACCTATTTTGTTTTCTATGATAGCCTTCCAGTGAATTGTTCGTGTTAGGCCGATTTTGAAGACAATCATACAGGTTCCAAAATTGTCTTGAATATCTGCAGCCATCATCAATGTATGTTGAACAAATATAATCACAAAATTTTTGTAAACGTCTGTCGGTTGGAAACATATCCGTAAAAATTTCATTAATAATATCAAGTGGTAATAATGGTAAGGAAAATAAACGCCCCATACAATGTTTAACGATATAATCTTCTTGATACAGTTTAATACATCCCTTTTTACCGATTTGTTTATATAAATTTTTACAATAATGAAAGTAACAACTTTTACATGATGCTGTTGGATAGGCGCTTTCAAAACTATTGATTGCTGCTGTTTCAAAATCCATCATAATAGTTTCTGGATTTAAAATAATATTATTATTCAATGAAAGTTCACTCAGGTTTGTTATGAGCGATGTATATGTAGTCTGATATTTATCGGGTAGTGCAGCAAATAAACTTGGTTTCATTGATTGCGCTAAATAGTGAAATTAAAACACTACAATAATGGAATCAAGTCTCGACCGAAAACTTACCTGTAAGACTATGTATTGTATATGCTTATGAAAATAGACGTGGTGCAGTATAGAATGTACCATCGGCATTCCAATGTTTTGCTTCAGCAAGACGTTCTAAACCACATTGCGAGACAAAATCAAGAAGCCTTGCGTCTGTATCAACATTTATCTGAAGAAAATCACCGCCGAGGTTATCCTTCTTCCAGTCGTCCGGTATATCGAATTCTGTCAAATTATGTGGTATGACCGGAAGACTACTGTTACGACGTCGATATAGTGACAATCGTACTGAATTAAATACTGGTAATATACCTCCAGTTTGCATGAAAAATTTAATACTTTCTTGTTCATAAACTTTCGGGATCGCAGTTGTTTCTTGTTCTGCTCTACGTTTCATGCCACGAATACATTGTTGTTCTAGATTGTGGTTCGTGATCATGTTGGCCTTTTTCAATCACAAATTTGTTTGAATGAATTAATATCGCAGCACTACACTCCTTGTTGATACAGCGCTATGATACTGAACCTTTTTTATTATTTCTGATATGCCGATATCGATGTGAATTATAAATGCAAATTTGTAAACCACGCTGACCGGTTTCAATTTCAAATTCCATTTCGCAAAATATTTGTGGGTACACATATATTTTTGTGCAGAGAATATATACCTTTTTAGGAATTATTTGATTACTCATTTCTAATCTTAGCTGTCCCAATTTCTCCAACAGTTTCCCAGAATTTCTTGAGTTTTAATTTTAATCATTTGTCGTATAAGTCATCATTTATATTATTTACACAGCATTTAAATTATGTTCAAATTAAAGAAGTGTAGCAGTAGCTTTTCGCTATACGGACGAAATACCACAATCAAATTAAGAATATATGAAACAGTATATGTATTTTTCTATTTCTTATTCTAATCAAACTAAGAATATATGATATAACGATATATTTTTCTATTTCTTACAGTCCATGTTTTACTTGCTAATTAGAAAGTGTGCGGAGTTTGAGATCACGTATATTTCGAATTCATATAATTATGTGCGGAGTTTGGGATATAGATATAGTCACTTTTTATTAAAAGTGTGAGGAGTTCGGGAAGTAATGTTTTATTAAGTTAGAAGAAATAAAAATACATTAAATATTGGTTACTGTTTCTTTTTGTTGTTGAAGTTATTGATAGGAACAATATTTTATGATCATCTGTATTTATCACTTTGCACACTTCAGTTTTTAAATATCATTCTACACAATAATCTTATCAAACTTTTATTTACATATGTCTGTTGTATTCTTTAGTAAAAAAAGAAATAGCATATTCTATATTAGATTATAATGTTCATGTTTGGTCGAAGAACTTTTTGGACAACAAAATGTTATTCGTAGTACATGTCGAAACTCTTGTCCAAATAATGAATATAATACAAACACCGATGATGCATTAATTACAGACAAAAGGTTATTCACAGTCAAATAGAGTCTTGCACTTGTCCTTTCTAAATATTGTGGACCTCGTACAGCATAAAGAAGATTAAATAAAAAATATGGAAACTGTGTGAGTAAAAAAATACCAACGATCGATAATAATAATAATGTAATCGAGTTATTTTGATGAGTTTTTGTTCCTAAGAGTCTTTTTTTTGCACGTTGAATAATCAAACGTCTAATAATACATGTTTTACAGGAGATTAATAATAATAATGGTAATAAAAATACGAATATAAGATACAAGTACTTACGCATTAATATTCGGAATAATCGACCTTGTCCAAATGAAGATAAGACTAATGTTAGATGAATTGAGTTCGAATCATCTGTAGTCTGTTCTTTATGATGAGTAAATTCAAACCAGAATGGTAAACAGTATAATATACAAAACAGACATATTCCAATAATAACACTTATTGATGATTTTCTTAAATGAAATTTTCGCATTCGAGCTGGTAAACAAATAATTATAAATCGATTCAGTGCGACGGATGCTGTTAAATAAATTGATATTAACATAACCGTTATTTGAATCGGATAAATATAACAAAATATTAGAATATAAAATACTTCATAGGATGTTGAAGATATTGTCGTTAATTTACAATGATTGTACAATAGTGATCTTAAACCGTACAATAAAATATATCCAATTAAGACAATTGTATTCACAATTGATAATGATAATATGTAAAGATTTGTTGACGATTTACGCATTCGTGGATGAAGTAATATTATACATGTAAGAATATTACCAATGATACCGAAAATACATATGAAGGATAATAACCAACCTTCAACAATACGTTTAAACTCGTAGATAAAATCATAGTTTATACATTGGTTACTACTGTTGTTCATACTATTGTAACTAATTAATTTCTCTTACACACTTCTCAAACTAAAAATTAGAGTAAGTATCAAAATTAATATATGTTGGAATATATATATTAGTCATCAAAACTACAGTATAGTGTACGATACATACCATGGAAGACATTTCAGCAATTCGAAGTAAACTGTTTTCTAGAGATAATGTAGTCTCTCTAGAATTATCATCATTATTGATCAATGAAGCAATTACTTATCTTTGCAGAAAATATCAACTTAGTAACGTAATTTTGATTGGTTTGCATGAATATTAACAAAAAGTGATTAAAAAGATGCTATACTTCTTAAGTGTTCTTCAGAATCATGTATGATTTCGAGAGGCATGAGAAGTCTACTCATACTTTTGGGTAGCTACGCGACGATACGTAGATGATGTTCATAGTATGAAGGTGATTTGTCATACTAAGGATGTCTCGTCTTTTTACAAAACGACGTAAAATAACTCTTTGTCGTAATATAATTAGAATTTCGGTCAATAAGGGTTAATATCTGACCTATTATTAACAGCTCTTATTCACCGCTGTATTTCTGATTACAGAGACAGTATGGCTTGCTGGTTATCTTGTTCGTCACATACTTCAAACGCACTGTGTTCGAACCAGAGATCCACACGGACCGGGCCAGAAAATTTTATAGAGCGATCGAGAAGGGCCGAGCCGAACTCAAAATTTTTAGTATGCGTAGATTCGTAATTTATGTGTATAATCAGTACCGAGAAAGAGTATTATCACTGTTATGCGACATCTTAATGACTTCGTTTAGCTAATGCCATTAAAGGTTGAAAAAATGAAAACCAAGTAATCATAAAGGTATAAATATTAGCTTGAAAAATACATTTACATCACTTAGCCAGTAAAAGCATTATAGATGCAAGAAAAAAATCACGCCTGAGACCAGAAGATTTTAAAAAGTGATCGGACTGGGCTAAATAGGTTTCAGGCTTGTGGTTTTCCGGAAAGCTAGTATGTGGTTAGCGAGGTGTGTATGTGGAGCTCAAATAACTGGGCGACAGAAGTCTGCGTCAGCCTAGCTTTTTGGTCAGAGCTGTGGCTGATTGATTAGTAACGAGATGGGTAGCCATTTCAGAAGTTTGTAAACTGCAGGGAAGATACCAGCTATTGAAACTGCCACGGTAGCATCGGACACCGGTAACAGTAGTCGCAAGGCGGAGTATTGTTCCTGTTTCGTGATCAAAGAGCCAGTTGATTAGCGTCCTTGAACCAGAAGTTACGTGACAGTGATAAGATATCTCGCACCATGCACTCAAAAGAGAGAGAGAGAGAGAGAGAGAGAAAATTAAAAGAATTACTGTTGACACGATACTAGATATGAGCGATTTTTCAGTCCCGATCCCGGAAATTTCCTAAAACTTTATATTTAAATACGGAAAAAAGGTAAAATTTTAGCTACTTTTGCGAAATTATCAAAAAATATTCTTGACTCCAATACCGATCACGTATTGGATTTGTAACGCCATTATCGCCTGAAGGAAGAAGGATAGAAAGATTTTCTTTTTACCATTCGATAGCTCTAACGAAAATCTCGTAAGTCTCTTTTTCTCGTAAGTCTCAAGAGGGAAGTCCACCAACTTGAAAATCGTTTGAAGGCCAAAATTCAGTGGATCATGGGTTATCGACGACCCTGAATCCGAATATCACCTTGGCAGTGTGGAGACATATCCCGATCGGGATATCATTTTTTGCAGCAAAATTTTTTCTATATCCCGATCCGGATATAATTCGATATCCCGATTGGGATATTAAGAAAATCTATATCCCAATCAGGATTTCAAGAATTTTAATTTTTAATTTGTTAGAAAATAATAAATTTTAATTATATGAGAGCTGAATATTCTTCTCCTTCTTTATTCCCCGTTTCTAATGTTCCTAGTAGTGTCTTCTGTTTTCTCCAGCTGATCGAAGAGACACATATATCTTTTTAACAGACCTAAATAGATTTCTTCTATTAGACGTCTTTCATATGTGAGCGTAGTATAAAATATAATAGAAGATAATTTACTTCATATAATAATTCAATAATTCACTTCATTCAATTATGCCTCCCAAAACATCAATGCAAAAAACATCATACGGGTCCAATCGTTACAAAATTGAAGTCTGATAAATTGAAGTGTGCTCAAAGAACATAAGCCAGTTTATCTGCAAGAACGGATAGTTAGAAAATTTCCCGTTAATCACAAAGCACGTATATTTCTATATTGTCGACGAATGAGAAAAGAATTGTTTCAATATATGTGGGTATCGAAATGAAAGAAATAAAAAAACACGGTCGACATGGAAAGCGATTAGATCAAGAGTATATTCCATTATGAGCAATAAAAGATTAGCAGCCTATCTCCTGATCGGGATATAAATTCGACTAAAATTAGTTAAAGGTTTTTGTTTGAAAAAATAGTTGCTGATGCACTTTTGATCAAACTCAACAGAATCCGATATAGTTTTTCGAGCTCTTTCGAATGATGAAGTCAATTTTCCCCCAAAATGTCGTCATTTCCCCTTAATCGTTTTTACGACGAAATTTCATGTTTTATATCCCGATCGGGATACTACTTTTTTTCTATATCCTGATCGAGATATAGCTATATTCCGATCAGGATATAGGAGGTGTCCCCTTAGTGCTTGGGATCGGCTGCTAGGCCTTGTCTGACCTGGTTTTCCAGAAAAACGGATTTCTAGAAACAGCAGAAAATCCCCGAAATATTT